CGTGTTGCTTCTCCCGAGTCAACTAGTAATGGTGTGTGGTCTGAAATTGCCCTCTGCATCGCATGAACCGACACCAATGGGCATTTCTGTTCCCATTCAACACTAGCGAGAACCCTATCCAACTTCTCATTAGTCGGTGTAGGTAACGTATTAGCCCAAGTATATTGTCTACCAGTAAGCTCAATCTCTCTCAAACTAAGGCTCTCGATGATCATGTTTAACATAAGTGATCACCGCCCATCAATTACATGGCCACTTAGCATAAATATCCAACCATCGTTGGACCTCCTGTCTACGTGGTCAGGGTCAAAGCGCCACACAGGCGGGTCAATGGTGGTTAGAAGGAATTAGGACCTGGGTGAACAACTTAAAAAGATTTATGATCCAGACATGCATTTTGAAAGAATTAAAACCTAATCGACACTTTGATAAAAAAAGGGACCACGCATGCATTTTAACCATGAAAGTTTACTTACATGCCACTATCAAATAAACCGGTTCCTTCTATGGTATATTTAGGTGCTGGTTATTATGAATTCTCTATTGTACCAACTTTTTTCTTCTCTCTTACCCGCAAAAAAAACTTTTTACTTCTCTCACCACTATATAAGCTCGTTAATTCCGAGTTAGTAGAGAGATCAAAATTGCTATTTTTCACCTTGTAGTGTTAATTGAAAAGAAAATCTCTCTCCTGAGCAACGCTACATTCAAGTAAAAATTCTTACGGATTGAATTTACGAAACAAGGTAGTTTTTTTTTGAGCATCAGTACAGACATAAGCGCTCATATACACGCGCATACACTCATCCCTATGAACGCACACACGCACATCCTACCCCTATGAGCACCTCCGAGAGACTGAGCCGGCATATCATCTTGAGATTTACGAAGTTACCGTAGGCGCCTCGTCGTCGACGAGAACGTCTCCTCCCACTGAAAGCGCATTGCCAGAAATCCTGAAATAAATCCAGAAATAATGCGAGCAAATCCTGGTGGGTTGGGGATATCACTGTCCACCTAACCATCTCAACCACAGGTTGGTTCGCTACGAAACAAGGTAGTTGGTCACGTGGTAACCAAGGGGAGCAGTAGTGAAAATTAGAGAGGGTTTGTGGGGATAAAGACACATACATCTGTAAGTCTAGTCCGTAACCAAGCCTCGGGTAACTCTGGTAAGCGATCCATTCTTTTGAACTTGAACATGCAGCGGCAAGGCGTGTGAGTGTAAAATTGGTAGGGATGTCTCATCATGTTTCCTACTCCTTGAACGAGTTGAGCCACCTCTTGTGGTCGCCTCAAGGCGGCAGGTGATCGCCCCACAAAGGTGTTTCTTTTCAAATAATTTGGTGCCCCTGAGCCAAACCGAGTCAAGAAAGTGGTAAGGGTCGAGTTAGAGACGAAACAAACATTCAAAGCAACGGAACTATAGATCCATCTTTACAGGACAAGCATAATGAAAGTAGGCATTTGGCCAAACAGTCAAATAAACCCTATATCTAGAAATCCACCATCGGCCACTTGCCTCTGTAGGAGCCGCGAAGTGCGCAACTGAAGCCGAAGACTCAGCAGCATCGTCGTTGTCCTGTGTCTCCATAGTGGCCTTGCCCATGTCGTCGTCATCTATTTCCGCAGCGACATGGTCGATGGTCTTCATAGTCCTTTATATTCACAACTGCATCACCAATGGTCTCATCCATGTCATCATCATCGTCCTCGACCTCCTCGGTGGTAGAGTTGATGGCTTTGTCCACATCACCATCATCCTCTGTCTCTCCATCGGCGTTATTGGGCATGTCCATATCTTTATAGTCAAATTGTGGCTGCTCTCTCCCAGACATTGGGTCGGGTCATTGGGCATGTCCATATCTTCATAGTTAAATTGTGGCTGCTCTCTCCCAGACATTGCGTCGGACACCTTACGTGCATCGCCGTCTGAGGGCGCCATGGTAGGAGGAAGGTGATGGAAAGCTTACTGGATGTAGGCAGATAGTTTAGAGCAACTTCAATGGGACGATCCATTTTGTCCGTCGCCGTTTGTTTGGTTCGGCGCAGACATAAAACACGGCCCAACACGCCGACCCAAACGGACGCGCGTTCGCTTTTCGTCCGCGGACGACCCATTTCCGGCCCATTTTTAAGCCAGATTTGCGTCGGCGCGGACATGCGACGGACGCGTGCATGCTCGCTTTCTCCTTACCCGGGACCCGCTGGTCGGTGGCACATTGACCTTCCC